AGAGCACACCGGTGCTGCGGCCGGTGCTGCAGAGGGAGGGATTGGGCGAGTCCAGCCCGAAACTTGGACGGCCGTGCTCGTGCTGCACAGCATGTGCATCGTCCTGCTTCCACCGTGGTTCAGAGCACAGACCGCCCTCTTGGGGGCACCAGCTGCAAAGGAGGTAGCCTTCACGGGGACTTGCTCTGAAAGGACTGCCGAGAGCACAACTCTCGGCGGCATCAGAAGTTCCGCATGTGCACTGGCAGTGCCATCGACAAAGCTTTCCTGCGTACGTCTCCGCGGTACTCGAGTCTTGGTCTGAACGATTTGGGCGATGCCGCCGGCACCTAGATGGAGCTTCCCATCCACCAGCTCTGCCAGGATGGGCAACGTCCTCAGGGAAAACGGAAGTTCTGCATCTGCGCCCACCATGCCGCAGACAGGGTTTCCTGCTCGATCCATGCCCAAGAAGTACAAGGAACCTCAGCCCTAAACCTCACTCGAGGGTTTCAGAAACCAAGATCTGAGTCTCCCACCACCCTTAGCCTCCGTTCGGAATCTCGGAAATCCCTTCCCAACATCTCTGGAAAAAAGTGCCCTCAACCTCTGCACGCCCCTTCGACGCAGCCGTCCCTACTGCAGATCGTATGTGCTTGACAGACGAACGGCTGCAGGCCAGGCATCTTGGCAGAGATGAGAACCGGATACCTGAAAGCCTCGGTGCCAGTTGCACCTTGTGAGTCTTCGACAGCGGTCGAGGCGGTTGATGGGAACACCACATTCTTCGACGCTGAGACGTATATAACCTGGCTAAAGCCAGGCATCTTCAATCATAAAACACATCATTGACTGTCACAGAACTCCCCCCCCACCGAATCATCCTCACAGCTTAGAGCGCAGCATCACACTCGTCCTCCTCTTCATCGCCAGCATTACCAACCAACGGCATACAGAACACGATCATCAACATCACCATCGTCAACATGATCAACATCCTTATCGTCGTCTCCTAGGTAGTTATCGTGTTCCGTTCAGGTAAAGAGTCTGTTGTTAGCATTCCCCCCTCTGCAACTCTGCAATCGTAAATGTACCATCAATGGAACACATGTGTCCTGCACGATCCTGGCAGAACATAAGAGCGATCGTGACCAAGACCGTCACACCATGTCTCTCCACTTGCTGCCCAGCACGAGCTTTCAAGCAAACATCTGGGCACGCGGCCCGAACCAACACAGGTCAGAGCTTTCTCGCGCGACCTGCGCGCGAGAGCTCTTGCTGCCTGCATCGTCTCTGAGAGCACACCTATGAGTCTCCTCAGAATGAACTAGTTCGGGAACTCTGTGCTTGCTTGTGTTGTTTTGTTGCCCTGTTCTCTGTTAGCTTTAAGGCGCAGTGGAGAGCGGTGGAGAGTGGTGGAGCATGTGTCGTAGGTTTTGGTACGTCGTCACCCTCCGCTCCTCCCCGCAAGAAGGAAGAACGAAACCCAAAATGGACACACAGAAATCCCGCTAAAACTTGCGACAAACAACCTTGTATAGAAATACTAGCCGTGACTCAAAACCAGAACCCCCGCCTCAGCGTGAGAACGTTTTGAAAGAACTGGACGTTATCACGGTTCGGGCATGGATGCTCTGCGGCAACGCATTGGGTCTCGGGAGTGATGAGCCCCTGCAAGACAGAGACCTTGTTGCCGAAGCGGTCCCCATTTCATAACAAGCTGTGTGAAGCTTTTGTAACAGTCTCGAAAGAATCCTTCGAAACTGGCTATAAGCCAGGAACCGTAACCCTGTTAGAATGAGTGCATGCGGTATACATACATCATGTACATGTGTACCGACTTCGGGGTCATCACCCCCCTTCTCACCCCGAAGCGAGTCTTGTCATGGGACGTCGGGCAGATCGCTTAGCTGGGGCTTGTTCCGGGTGCCAACAAACAATGCGGGCGGAGGGTCTCTCATTGCCAACACTGTGATTCAACCGCAGCTTTTCTGCGGCGCCGTGGCGTCCTGACACTACGCCATTGACTTCGATATCTGGCCCACCGACAAGGGCCAAGAAAGCAGAGTACCCCAAACAAGCACAGTAATCACCAAGAGTTGCGAACACATGGTCTCAAGCAGACTTGTGTAGGGCCGTTCCGGCTTGCCGGTCGTTGTGAGTCCGGGTACTGCGAAAAGTGTCAGAAAGAGTCCAGGCAAAGGCTTGGCAGTCGACACTCTTGGGATCTCTTGGGGGCATGTCTGTGCCGAGATATGTTTGATTACTTGGGCCGTGTTGAAAGAATTCACCGTTGCCATTCGACATGCGGTTGCTGCAGTAACCAAAGCAGCGATGCGGATATGCAAATGTGGACGCACCATGCAGAGACACGCGCACGACGCAAGGTTTTGCAAGGACGAGAAATCCCAACCATGGACAGCGCCGGGATAGACAACGTGGCAAGAACTCCTTCCTCAATGAAAGCTCTATCCGTCAAGTTACGAGATTCTTAGTTCTCTGAAGTGCCAAAGGCCGCCTCAGCACAGCGATCAGGAGCCAACAAGCACGGGACCTCCGCGCAAACCGAAATATTCTTGTGTACGAAATCCTGGGTGGGTTGATGCTCTCACAACTCTCCCAGGGAAAAACAGACGGATCAACCAAGCAAATATAGACAAGCATTGTGTGCATGGGTTTATGGTTTCTAGCGCCACTGGGGTTTTGGGGATTATTGGGTTTACGGGTGATTGAGGCTTTCAGCACTAAACTAGTCTTGCTTGGGCTCCTAAGCCCACATAGGTTTTATAGGGCTTCGTCAAGTCGACTGCAGCCCGATTCTCACTGAATCATTTGGCGCATTTCAACAACCACTCCAGTGGCGAAAGAAGCACTTTGGAGCTGATGCATTCAGATGCTTCTCGCTCATGTGAGGAAGGGCTGAGGCCCGAGCAACGAGCACCGACACAGCGAGTGGCGCGACACTTCTGCCAGGGCAAGATCAGCGCTGTTCGAAGATAGGGTTTAAGGAGAGGGATACCGGCTTCCTATAAAATGCTTTGTACGAAGCAGGACAGCTCCTGCATCCTGAACAAATCCAGGAATTTACATCGCAACAGCTTTGAGGTGTCGGCCTCATTCCTCATGCCAGACAGCTCAAGCATTAAACCCACGCACTAGGCCCGGGTGCACCTGCTGCCGCGAAGGCCTGGCATGGCAGCGATGGTGGAGATGCCACCTTCACGACGGCTTGAGTTTTGGAGCCTGGGTTCCATGGCTTTCGGACTATGTGTCAATGATATTTCGATCTCGGGTTTTGCTATCAGGATCTTATTAGGCAAACAATTTTTTGGTGAACATTTCAATAAACACTAGATCTAGATGTGTACTGCAAAGATTGTGTCTGTAAACGTCGCGAGGCGTAACACATCGGAACACCACATGATGACTTCCAGCTGAAAGTCAAACAGCCACTGCTACTTCTACTGCCACTGCCACTGATGACTTCCCCTCGCACGCTGACCCGGCACATTGCACGTTTCACTGAAGGCCCTAAACGGCGGAGGGGTTTTTTTTTCGGAGGTGCGGCCAACC